ACTGCATTCCAGTCTGGGCGACAGAGTGAGACTCCAACTCAAAAAACAACAACAACAACAGCAGCAACAACAACAAAACAACAAAAAGAGAAAACCTGGTACATCAGTAGTGCTATGCAAGACTCTGGGAATCGAAGTGGAATAAACATGGAGTTAGGCAGTGGATGACAGAAGACAGTCACCTTGGAGAGGGTGTCAAAGGCGGTTTTCCACCTAAGGGCAAAGGAGGAGCTGGCCAAAGAATAAGAAACACAGTAGAGATCTGTGTAAAGGTCCCAAGGTAGGAAAGGATCAATGATCTAGAGGAATTGAAAGATGATCTGTGTCTGGAGGGATGTGAAAGGGAGCCAATAGAGCAAAATAAGTTCAAGTCGGTTGGCATGAGTCAGTCTACATCAGGCCTTGGGAGTCCACGAGTGGATTTTTTTTGAGGTGGAGTCTCGCTCTGTCACCCAGGCTGGAGTGCAGTGGCACATTCATGGCCACCCCCGTGTCAACTTGCTGGGCTCAGGCGATCCTTCCACCTCAGCTTTCCAAGTAGCCGGAAATACAGGTGTGCGTTACTATGCCTGGCTAATTTATTTATTTATTCTGTTGTAGAGACAACGTCTCGCCAAGTTGCCCAGGCTAGTCTCAAACCCGTGGGCTCAGGCAGTCCACTCACCTTGGCCTCCCAAAGTGCTGGGATTACAGGGTGAGCCACGGAGCCCAACCGGATTTTTTTTTGAGTAGGAGTTTCTTTTTGTCACCCAGGCTGGAGTGAGTGGCATGCTCATGGCCACTGCAGCCTCGACCTGCTTGGCTCAGGCAATCCTTCTGCCTCAGTCTTCCAAGTAACTGGAACTACAGGCATGCGCCACCATACTCGGCTAATTTTTTGACTTATTGTAGAGATGAGATCTCACCAAGTTGCCCGGGTTGGTCTCGAACTCATGGGCTCAGGCAGTCCTCTCACCTTGGCATCCCAAAGTGCTAGTATGTATGGATTTGATTTTAGGAGTAATGTGGAGACAGCAAACTTGTTATGCAGAGGAGTGATCTGTTACTACATCTTTAATTTTTTTGGTAATTATTTACTTAATATCTGTCTTCTCTGCTGGATTGTATACTCATGAAAGCAGAAACCAGTCTCTAACATCCACTGTTAATTTCAAGTTCCTGAAATAGTGCCTGGCACATAGTGGGCACTCAATGAATATGTATTGAATGACTGAGTGAACATATTTAATTAATTATTTATAAAATAGAGACCGGGTTGGGCAACCCTTTTGGGTCCCCTCCCACTGTGGGAGCTTTTCTACCCTCTCAATAAATCATGCTTTCTCACTTTCTGGCTGTCCGTGTCCCTCATTCTTCCTGGGCATGAGACAAGAACCTCGACCCTGAAGAGCTGCGACCTGAAGAGCTACAGAAGATCGTCGGAGCTGAAGAGCAGTGCACCCCAGAGGCTGGCTTGCCAGCTGTTGGAGCCGGTTGAACCAGGAGAGCTTCTGGAAGAAAGCGAGACTCCAAAGCTGAGACACTCCAGGGGCTAAGCTTGCCAGCCCACCGAACCAGCAACACTCTCAGGGCTTGGCTTGCCAGTCTATTAGAACCAACACTTCCGGGGCTAGGCTTACCAGCCCCTGGAGACGACATTCTCTGGGGCTTGACTGACCGAACCATTGAGCTAAAACTCTGGAAGCCCAGGCTGACCTGAAAAATCCGTATCAGTACCACATGTTCTCACTCATAAGCAGACCCTGAACAATTATCATAATACTATAAGAAAAGGATTAACAGTAATTGGAAACTGGGGAGGGGCACACACCTCATCAATAAGGGTATCTGATCTTAAACCAGGTCAAGTAGGGATCAAAGTGAGGCCCAAACTTTACCTGTACAATGACCATTTGTATACCCAACCTGAATTGTACCCTACAACTTTAAAATTAAAAAAAAAAAAATACAGACAGCGTCTTGCTGTGTTGCCCAGGTTAGTCTCCAACTTCTGACCTCAAGCGATGCTCCTGCCTCAGCCTTTCCAAGTACTTGAATTGCAGGGCCATGCCTGGCCCTCACATTTTATTTTGAAACAACTCTTTGACACAGGTAGAAAATTCTTTAACCTTGTTTTACAGATGAGGAAACAGGCTCCTACAGCCTGCCAACAACACAGTCAGGACTCAACCACAGGCCTTTCAATTCCAAGTCAGAGGGCATTTCCTGCACTGACATCTGCCTTTAGATCAAGGCACTTCCTCAACACTAAAACATCTTCCCAGTTTTCTTGCGTCGATTCACCTTCCTCGCTGGAAGCCTCTGCTGTGTCCACTGATAGCCTTTCTGTTCTAACCTTTCCCTCGCCTCCATCCGTTCTTACCCCATGTCATTAACAGAGCTGGGAAATGCATGGAACCATCACACAGAAAGGAAAGGAAGGGATTCCTCCAGAGGAACTGGTAGGTCAGGCCCGCTGGGAGTGTGGGTATCTGGGGTGTGATCCGATGCCGCGTGTAAGATGAAAAGAATTGTTCAGAAGTTAGATTAGAAAATATAGTTTATTTAAAAACTAAATTAAAAAGAGAGGAGATTCACCTCTCCAGGGTAGGAGGGGGGACCCAAGCAAGGAAACATGGCGGCGGCCATAGCTCCAAGAACGCATGGCCACACCAGAGTCTAGTAAGACAATGGCCACTGGGTGCTTGTGGTTGAATCCTTTTCATCCTTCTCTTTGATGAGGGAAAGTCATTAAGGTGATTGGGTAGTGGTCTGCTCCATGTCATCACAAAGGGTCAGGTAACTGCAAATACTGATGTCAGGTGATGGACAGCAGGCAGAGTTAGTCACATGATTGCTCCCATGGTGGTGAGGTCTATCTGTGTTATGAAGATCATGGAGGGCTGATTAGGTTAACCTGGGTCTTCTGGGTGGAGGCAAATACTTGAAATAGAAAAGCTAATTAGTACAAAACAAGCTGGGAAGGGAGTTGTAAAATAATGATCAATAGCTACCTCTGAGAAACTGGTTCTGCCCTCGGCTGGCGA